TGCATGTTCTCTCTGTGCATGCGTGGGTTTTCTCCGAGTACTCCAGTTTCCTCCCACAGACCAAAAACATGCATGTTAGGCTGATTGGTAACTCTAAATTGTCCCTAGGTGTGAGTGAGAGAGTGAATGGTGGTTCGTCTCGTTTGTCTCTATGTGTCCCTGTGATGGACTTGCGACCCGTCCAGGGTGTACCCTGCCCCTCGCACAGGGATTGCGGGACATGGGCACCGGCGACCCCCGTGACCCAAAATGGAAGAAGCGGGTAAAGATGATGGATGGATGGATGATTCTCTTTACATACTTTAAGGACTTGTGTGAAAATCTGATGATGTTTTGATCATATTTATACAGAAATATATAAAATTATAAAGAGTTCCTAAATGTTCCAGCACCACTGTATAGCTGTAGTTTATTAAACTACGTCTTGTTACCCAGATCATCATGATCTTAAGAGCAGTTCCAGAGGTATCGCTTAATTAGTCTTGCTAATCAGAATACCTGGAAAATTGTTCTTAATCCTGTTTTAGCCTATTCTACTGAGGATTTCTTGACATAATTTGAAAGAGGAAACCTCATGGATTTTCCAGCTGGTGTTGGAATGAGCTTTGCTCGCACGCAGGGAAAGTATCAACAATTTAAGGCTTTTCTGCTCAAAATCATTGTTGTTGGTTCTTCTCAGGAAAGTGCTTCAGAACGTTCAGAACATTATTTACAACTATATTTTGGACATTTCATTCAAGGGACCCATAGATAATGTATTTATTCATATTTTGACAAAAATCCAAATATTGCCAATGTTTAACTGGCGCACTACATCTGGCTGGATGTCAACATACCACTTTGTGTCTCAATGTGACGGCCGGGCGATGTTTAATCAAAAACTTAAGATTCAGTGAAGGAATACACACAAACTCCATCTTTTAATCAATATTCTGAAGCTGTGATTATTCTATAATGAGAAATGTTGCAGTTACAGCCATTTTGGTTGAACACTGAAAATATTGTTGAGGTGCCAAATCTCATACTCATTGCAATCACAATATTATGAGATCTGTTAGTGCTCAGGATATTTGTTGTGAATCCCTTCCAGCCACTACCTAATTTGAGCTCAGTCTTTACTGAGCTATACAGTAGTCATTTTGGTGTAGTCATTCACACGTACACACTCTGATCTAACTGATCACTGTGTTTAA